GAGTTTGCCATGACCTTCTTCCAAGATGTTTTTTGATAACTATCTCTAGTTTGCACATGCATTAAAAAATAGTAGCAGTTGGTAAACAACAGAAAGGAACAACAATCAATTTATTGACAAGCATCAAAATATTTTCAAAGGCTGATCCAATGATTAGAGTTTTGTTTGTCCTAGGACCTTTGGGAGGAGGGTTTATTGGGGAGGGAACTTGTTTTTTCTCTTTTTGCCCTCAAGTCATCGTTCCTCACTGTCACACAAGAATTATTGTAGCTGCAAAACAATGAGTTAAATTTCACCTTAAAATGTTTCTTAATGTATTAAACAAGACTTCCCAAAGGTGTTTTTCAAGAAGCAAATGGATTTTCTTGGTTTTTTTCCTTGAAAACATTTCACCTCTCATTCAAGAAGCTTCTTCAGTTTTTGAGTGTTTTTTTTAAAGAAGCTTCTTCAGAACTGAGGAAGCTTTTTGGATGAGAAGTGAAACATTTTCAAGGAAAAAACATGAAAGTTCAGTTGACGTGGATGATTGAGAATCTCCGTAGAATTAAGTATGAGTTTCTTTGCTAAGGGCACCATTTTATTTTTCAAAATTAGTTTGACAGAATTTTACCTATTCTTTCTGTATACTGTCGGGGGCTCAGCTACCTGCCTGGGTGTTCTTAGTTTCACTTTATCATGGCGTCAAAGAAAAAGAACCCTCTCCTTGTTCTATGTCCCTCAGGCTGATAGTCAAAGTGAGAGTACCCAAAAGAAAGTATGACTTTTTCAGAAAGTATGTCTCCTGCTTAAGACCATAGGTAGTCTTTGCTTAGTGACAAAATTGGGACTGGCAACTTAGTTGTTATGCAGCTACACATCTAGGCAACTACGCAGTCACTTTGCAGAAAATCACGTGACTATGTTGGACTTACAGCCTCACTTCCTCATCAGTTTTTAAGCCAAGTGGTATGATTGCTAAGCGAAAAGATAATGTGACCGAGACTTGTGATTTTATTTCTGCCTTCTCCATTAATTCTGCTTGTCACAAGATGGTTGTGAGGTGTGTGAATTGTGATTATGTGACTGCTGAATGCCACAACAGCCATAAATATGATGATTGATTGCAAAGTAGGTTTTTTCCACTGCTGTAACATCGAACAGTCACTGCACAAGGCAGTCAGTAAGTGAGGACTACTTGTAATGGATCTGGATTGCTACAATCTTGATGACCAGTAGAGGGCACCCAAGAAGTAGGCTTTTTCTTCTCTCTTTGCTGCCACCAGGAGTGCTGCAGCCCCAAATCTGTTCTTCTCCTCTCACAATTTCTAGTCCTCAAAAATAGAAAATAAAAATCACAGCTTCTGGTTGCAGTTTTCTCCTCGTTCTGAATTTCAATCAAAACACTTCTCTGTCTGCCACCCACAACATTTTTTTTTCTCATCTCTCTCTCTCAAATGCCTGCTTGTCTGTCTAGACTTGCTAGTGATTCCTTCTCTTTTTTTTCTATTCTGCTCCATTAGTTTCAACATCTTGTCACTACTTCCTTTTGCATAAGTCTTGTTCTCGCTGATAAGCGGAAGAAGTGTGAGTTAGCTCCAGAAATCCTTTGTAAGGGAGGTCTTTGAGCAGGGAACACTTCCTGGCAGCCTGCAAAAGCAAGGAGGCTGACTTGGTTGGTCTTGTGCAAACACATCCAGGCAATGGAAACCAAGAGACAACAGAGCATTTCTGGCTCATGCCTCAAGCCTCAGGCTCTGTTGTGGTCTTTTCCTTTTGAAACTTGATTTATGAAAGCCACGCCCAGTTATTAGAAGCAAGCTAGAACTAAGGAGAAATTTCCTGACAGTTAGAACAATAGATCAGTGGAACAAACTGCCTCCAGAAGCAGTGAATGCTCCAATACTGGAAGTTTTTAAGAAGAGACTGGACAGCCATTTGTCTGAAATGGTATAGAGCAGGGGTGTCAAACTTGCAACATCACATGACGTGTCATGATGTGTCGTGACTTTTTTTCCATTGCCGGCAATGGGGTGAGTGCGGTTTCGGCATGATGCATTTGACCACAAGCCGGCAGTTTGACAGCCCTGATATAGGGTTTCCTGCCTGAGCAGGGGATTGGACTAGATGACCTCCAAGATCCCTTCCAACTTTATTATTATTATTTTTTATTCATTAGACATGAACCTCAGTCAACTGAACATTCAAATTGGCTGGCGCTGATGGTTGACACGGGTTGCTCCCAGCATCCTAGGTGTCCACCAGGTACCTCCTTAAAATGTAAGATGTTCCGAGTAGCGCAATTTTTTGTAACATAGCTGGAGTTGTTGCAGGAAGCTGCAGTTTCTTGATGTATTTTGCAAAGTTTTTTGAACATAGTTCTCAATGCCCCGATGACAACGGGTATCACTGTTACACATTTCATCCATAATCGCACAGTTTCGATGGCCAGGTTGTGATATTTTGTAATTTTTTACAGTTCTTTTTTTTCGACTCTGGCATCTCCTGGTATCAATCAGCTGTATGCTTCGGTTCTCTATAACTGCGATATCAGATGTGTTGTTGCTGTTGTTATTGTTGATGTTTTTTGGTTTTAATTTTTAGTTTTTTAGTCCCAATATTCTTGGTTTGCATTCTATGTAACTTCCTTAAGTCAGAGCAAATACTAAATTGTTTAGACTTCCACCCATTTAATAAAGACAGGTTGGGGGCAGTTCAAGATGAATAGGTTAGCTTTCTGTTTACAGAAGGCAGGAAATTTGAAGATTGAAACAGAAGTGGACTTCTCTTACATGTCAGTAGCAAAAGGGGGTAGCATCTCCTCCAGTCCTATGGAAATTCATCAGACAGATGCAGCAGGAGGAGGATTAATTCATGGTTTGTTTGTAAACCATTAGGGTTCCCTGGATCAGTCAATAATGTGAAGGCCTTTAAAACGCAGCTTTCTTGCCAATATTATCTCATAAGCATCTAATTTCCTATATTAGGATATACAATTAGATAGACTGTACAATTCTAAAACTATCTTTCTTAGGAAATTCAATATGAATTGACCTATCTAGAATGAAGCAGTTCCTTGCCAAAAGCAAAGTTCACAGGCACCCCACAGATTAATAGATAACTGGTTTTGCCTCACTATCATTTTGTTGCTTATAGAAATCGGTCTGTATAATTTGTCTGTATAATTTATATAATTTACCCAGAAGACAACACATACTTACTTTACTTTTTTTTTACTCTTTTTAATACATCACCATATTTTATTTATTCACATCTCCAGGTTGTTAATCATTTCTCCTAAAGCATTTTTTAATTTGCTTTTCACTTGGCATTTTATAACAAGACATCTTTGATTGCCCCAAGAGGAGTGAATTAGCACATTTTACAGTACGCATTCCCAGTAATTCCATAAAAGTGAAATGTGCTCTCAAAATCTGTATCTCTGATATAGAATAGGATACTCCTTTCAAGTACTGATAAAGGGAATAAATCATTACATACAAGCCAACAATTATTATGTGAAAGGCCTATTAGGTAAATCTCACCAGGAATCAACTCTGCAGAAAGACTGGTTATAATAAAAGAATTGAAACTGGTTATAATAAAAAGAATCTTGCATCTTTATTGTATCTGGTTTAAATGAGGGTAGTAATGCTCAGACATGGAAATTCCTGGAAACTTTGAGTAGCTACTAAATGGAACATATCCAGAGGAGCACTTTGCTCATGATCAGAACAGGATGCGGTATTCCAAGTGTAGCCTCACTAGTGTGATATAGAGTGGTACTATCACTTCTCATGATTTTGATGCTATCCCTCCATTGATGCAGCCTAGAACTGCATCGGGTTTTTTGACAGCTAAAGCACACTGCTGGCTGATACTTAAGTGTTGGTCCACTAATACACCTAAATCCTCCCACAGTTAACTACTGTTGAACCAGGTTCCACCTATTATATACTTATGCATTTTGCTTTTCCTGCCCAAGTGTAGAATCTTACTTTTCACAGTACTGAACTGCATCTTTTTGGATAGCGCTCAGTGCTCAAATGTGTCAAGATCCTTCTGAATCTTGAGTCTTATCTTCCAAAGTGTTAGCAATTCCTCCCAGCTTGGTGTTGTCTGCAGGTTTGCTGAGCAATCCTTCTGTCTCCTTATCAAGATCATTTACAAGTAATCCTTGACTTACAACCATTTATTTAGTGATCGTTTAAAATTACAACGGTACTGAAAAAAGTGTTCACACTTATGACCAGTGCAGTATCCCTATCAAACTTTGGATGTTTAGCAAATGGTTCATATTATGATGGTTGCAATGTCCTGGGGTCATGTGATCCCCTTTTATGACCTTCTGACAAGCAAAGTCAATGTGGAAGCCAGATTCACTTCACGTCTGTGTTACTAATTTAACAGTTACAGTGATTCACTTAACAACTGTGGCAAGAGAGGTTGTCAAATGGGGCAAAACTCACTTAACAACTATTTTGCTTAGCAGTAGAAATGTTGGGCTGAATTGTGGCCATAAGTCAAGAACTACCTGTATGAAGATGTTGAAGAGCAATGACAGAACCCTGAGGTATCCCACAGCATACTTGTCTCCATGTTGCTGTAGTTCCATTGAGGACTACATGCTGAGTCACAGACCTGCTTCTTCAGGAGATGAGAAAGAACAATAGAATAGAATAGAATAGAATAGAATAGAATAGAATAGAATAGAATAGAATAGAATAGAGCTGGAAGGGACCTTGGAGGTCTTCTAGTCCAACCCTCTTCTCAAGTAGGAGAACTTATACTGTCTCCGACAGGTGATGTACAACAGCTTAGTCTAGTTTTTGTCTCTGACCCCTTAATCATCTTAGTTTCTCTTCTTTGCACTTTTTCCAAAATGTTAAATTTCCAAAGTGATGTTAAATTGTGTATTGGTAGGAAGCTGCTTGTTCTATTTTGACTGAGGGGGGAAAATATGAGATGTTAATGCCTGGGACAATTTTTTTTAAAATTAGACATTTTTTCTTTCTCTTCTCTAGATATGACATCATGAACCTGCAACACATAGAAGCTAACCATTATGATTATGTCCACATCGGGACTTGGCATCAAGGAGTCTTGAATATCGATGATAACCGAATTCAAATGAACAAAACTGAAATGGTCCGGTCTGTATGTAGTGATCCGTGTTTGAAAGGTCAAATTAAGGTAATTGTTCCTATGGAGGTACTTTTGTTGAATAAAATAGATGTAATCATTTTCTGGGCTCCTGCCTTTGACCCCCCATGGCGGACACTTGATCCTGGGAAAAGACACAGTGGTTTAAGGTATTCCCAATAGTACTATAATAGGAATAGCAATAGCAGACTTATATATTGCTTCACAGTGTTTTACAGAACTCTCTAAGCAGTTTACAGAGTCAGCATATTGCCACCAACAATCTGGGTCCTTATTTTACCGACCTCGGAAAGATGGAAGGCTGAGTCAGTCTTGAGCCGGTGAGATTTGAACTGCTGAATTGCAGCTGGCAGCTGGCAATCAGCCGAATTAGCCTGCAATACTGCATTCTAACCGCTGCACCATGGCGGCTCTTAAGCTAATCCAGGTCCTCTCATATTTTCTTCTTCAAATCCAGAAGATTGCCCAGCCCTAAAAAATAATAAACATTTTACAGTAGTCTGTGGACAATTTTTGTTGTTATCCCAGATTTTGCAGAGTATATATGACTCATTTTTCTTTCTGTTAGATGTCATAAACTTTACCTTAAGAAATGCAGAATATGTGGCATTTTTTAAGCTCTTCTTTTTCTTCTTTTTAAATCATATCACATCACCAACAGGGATGTTTAGTCCCAGAGATCTTGGATACAATTGCAGTATTCAAGTCCTTCCTTCAAGGTGTTTTCAAACACTTATTTTTTGTCATGTTTTTATTCAGCAAGGTTATCTTCCCTAAAGATACTAGTAAATAGAACATTTTTGTCTCATAGCTACCATCTTAATCCTGCATTTTTAGTCGCTCTTAGGTTTCTTGCTGATAATATTTGTCTCCCTAGCTTGAAAAGTTTCTCCTGGTGATCTGATGAGAGGAGGAAAGGGGTGTTTTTATTGAATGGTAAATGTGAATTTATTTACTTCAAAAAGTGTTAGTTGGGACCTTCATGTTCATTCTGTCCCACCTGCAGTCCTGTCTTAATGGTATTACTAGGGGCGATGGTGCTGCCACAATTGCTCTTTTATTAAACCTAGCTTAGTCATAACTACAAATTGGGCTGAAAATGAGATGTTCTCCTTAAAATATATTGTCGTCCAGTTTCCCTATGCTTCCTATCATATCCTACTACTGAAATCCTATTTGTTTCACGAACATTATCTCTTTCATTTTCTAATAAGTGTTTGTATTCCTGTTTTTGAATAAAGAAATATAGCCAGAGCCTTCTGCTTTATTAAAAAGACTTTCCATGAGTTTTTTTTTCTGAGTGAACAGATCATATCTGGCACTACAGAGCTCTGGTAGCACAGTGGTTAGAATGCAGCATTGCAGGCTAACTCTGCTCACTGCCAGGAGTTTGATCCTGATTGGCTCAAGATTGACTCAGCCTTCCATCCTTCTGAGGTCAGTAAAATGAGGACCCAGATTGTTGGGGGCAATAGGCTGACCCTGTAAACTGTTTAGAGGGGACTGTAAAGTACTATGAAATGGTATATAAGTCTAAGTGCTATTGCTATATCATAACCTATAATGTAACATTTACTGAACAATATGGTAGCTAATTATGTTATATAACTCCAGTTCCCTTACATGGAGACTAAAGTATACACCACATACTGCATTTCCCCTGTTCCCACATCATAGGTAGCTTTGAGCTGCAAAACAAAATCTCCATTCAAACAAAACTTCTACCTGCTGACTTCATTTGTATCTTGATAAAAACAATTTGCTACCCACCATGTTCATTTGGCATGAAGCAAAAAAAAAAACAAAAAACCAAAACCTATGAGAATCAGACAATGTATAGAAATTTAGCTTGACAGAACAATGGTTCCATTTACATGGTGCAGGATGGCTGATAAAAAGCTGCAGTGTTACAGAAGGGGAATATTTATTAGTGAACTATCTGTTATTTATTTGCTCTTTCATATAACATTGGATTGTCCTTTTTTAGTTCTTTGAGAAAAACAAAGGACCTGCACTGTTCAATTTCCAAAAATGGGTAATTTTAATGTTTTCATTAGAGATCAAAATAAACCCACCTGACCTATGTCCTTCCATCAAAATCTTATTGTCTCTTCTTGAATTATCCTTTTATTTGAAAGGAGGAGACAAGCAAACTGGCTACAATTGAAGATACTGACCTTGCTTTAGCTAAAGATGTTGTCAGGTCTCAACTAGAGTTTCTTTACTCCAAAAAATGGACTCTAATGAGGATTCAAATGCAAAATCTTTTTCATATTTTTAGAAACTAACTAATACTCAAGTAGCGTATGGTGACCAACCCAGATTGGGTTCTGCAACATTATCCTGGAACATGTATATTACCTTTCATTCATTAATGTTTCAATCAAGATATACTTTTGAGGTTATCAATTCTTTTACTTTCCAATTCTTTTGACCTACAAAATGACCCTATGTTGCAACAGACAATTAGCCTCTGCAACTCAGTCTTTACTTGAACTGGATTTGCATATCGTGCTAAATTAAAATATTGCTTTCTTCTGATTATGTAATATATGAGTGCAATTATTATAGATGGCAGGGAGCACTCAATGCTCAGCAGCATTGAGTTTGTCAACTGGAAAGTTGATAGCCAAGGTTCAAGACCTGAGCACTGCATGATGGGGTGAGCTCTCGTTACTTGCCCCAGACCCTGCCAACCTAGCAGTTCGAAAGCATGCAAATGCAAGTAGATAAATAGGTACCACTTTAGTGGGAAGGTAACAGGAAGGTAACACCTATGCACTGGTGTACAGTCATGCTGGTCACACGACCACAAAAGGGTCTTTGGACAATGCTGGCTCCATCGGTTAAGAAACAGAGATTTTAGATAATTATTAATAGTATTAATTGTATTATTATTGTTGTCTTAATTTGCTAATATTTGTTTTGAGAAGGAGTTAAAGTGTATTATGGTTTTGATTGATAGTTTAGTTGGTTTATGTTAGCTAGATTATGTTTGTTTATTTGTTACCCTGTAATCGCTCTGGGAACTGGGGGAGGGGGGGAGGGGATGGGCGGGTTTATATTGTAATTTGTAAAACTTTTAATTAAAACAAACAGAGATGAACAACACCCCCTAGAGTCAGACAGGATAAACCTTTGTTTTATAGATGAGTGTTATAGATCAACTTGGCTGTCAATAGTTTTAGGATGAGATCTTCTCTGACTCTGCTACTTTGACTCCTTTTTCTGGTGAATGCCAGGGTAAGAAGCCCTGGGACAATTAGATTAAAAGCCTTGAGTCTTGTTATGGAGCTACAGATCTTTCAAAGCCTCAAGCACTTTGTTTTTACTTGCAGAAGATCTATTTTAGCCCAGATAAGTTGAGTCATTGATAAAAGGTTTTAAAATTTGTCTATTGCTATTACTTTATGAGACTGTATTCATAATGTCATACACTATATTGCTAGAGAGACAATTCTTCTTCTTCTTCTTCTTCTTCTTCTTCTTCTTCTTCTTCTTCTTCTTCTTCTTCTTCTTCTTCTTCTTCTTCTTCTTCTTCTTCTTCTTCTTATTCTTCTTCTTCTTCTTCTTCTTCTTCTTCTTCTTCTTCTTCTCTCTTCCTCCTCTTCTTCCTCCTCTTCCTCTCCTCCTCTCCTCCTTCTCCTCTTCTTCCTCCTCCTCCTCTTCCTCCTCCTCCTCCTCCTCCTCCTCCTCCTCCTCCTCCTTCTTCTTCTTTCTTCTTCTTCTTCTTCTTCTTCTTCCTCTCTCTTCCTTCTCCTCTCCTCCTCCTCCTCCTCCTCTTCCTCCTCTCCTCCTCCTTCTCTTCTTCTTCTTCTTCTTCTTCTTCTTCTTCTTCTTCTTCTTCTTCTTCTTCTTCTTCTTCTTCTTCTTCTTCTTCTTCTTCTCCTCCTCCTCCTTCTCCTCCCTCCTCCTTCCTTCTCCTTCTCCTTCTCCTCCTCTTCCCCCTCGCTCTCGCCTTCCTCCTTTTTGAGAGAGAAGGACTGTTCCAAGGTCCCCCAGCTGACTTCATGCCTAAAGTTCGGAAATCACGTTAAAAGGTTTTCATGTAAAAACGAATTTCTAATTTTATTGTAGGTTATAAGGAAGGGAGAAGTGAGCTGCTGCTGGATTTGTACAGCTTGCAAGGAGAATGAATTTGTGCAAGATGAGTTCACATGCAAAGCCTGTGAACTGGGATGGTGGCCTAATGATGAGCTGACAGGTATGAGCAAATCTTTACAATAATAGTCTTACAATAACTACTCCAAAATAATAATGTTTATTTTACTTATTTATCTTCCATTTTCCTCCTTAAATTCAATTTCAAAGCAAGGTGTATAATGAATAGACAGAAAAAGTACAATACCTGGACAGTCACAAAAATATGTGTCTGATTGCACGTACAAAAAAAAAAAAAACAATCAATGTCCCTAAAGCAGTCATCATTTAGCAACTGCCTCATTTAGTGGCCATTCGCATTTATGACAATGATGAAAAAGTAACTTTGCCACCTTTCCTCACATTTATGACATTCATAGATCTGTAAAGCAAAAGAAAGCTGAAGTAAGATCATCACAGTAACAGTTTCACTTAGCAACTGCCTCACTTAACAACTGAATTACCAGTCCCACAGATTATCAACTGGGATTGCTAAACGAGAACTACCTGTAGATTGATACTTCGACATGGGGATGTACACTTCAGGCATTATCTTCCGGGCAGCTGTGATCCTCAGAGGAAAGAAAGGGGTATACAATCCTCCTGTTGTATGTTTCTCACTCTGTTATTTAAAGGCAATTCATGATGTCTACTTTAGGTCGTTTAGTCAAGTGGCAGAACTCTTATAAGAATCTCAGAGGAAAGTAGGTCAAATTTCTGTTTGGACCTTCCTAGTCTACCTTGTCATTGTCCTCTGATTCTAGCTGAACCAGTTTTGTGAATCGTAGCTGACATTCAAAAGTAAATTGGCAAGCAAAGCAGCTGTTGTGGAATAGGAGTCATATGAATGTAAGCTTTTGCATTTAAGTTCAATTGAAGTTTAACACAATTTTCAAAGAAAACATCATGGGGAGCATCTGACAATAACACAATGTGGATTGCTACTAGGATAATTTATAAGCAAGGTAAAAATCAATGGCATCAGTTAAAATTATGTAGTGAAAGCAAAAAGGAACACTGAATTTCTTCAAAAAGTCAAAAGAAGCCATCATTCCAAGTTAAGTCTGAAGGAGTGTGATGGCTCAGTGATTAAAAATACTGAACTTGTCAGCTTGACGGCCTGGGTTGAAGACCTGAGTGCTGCGCGACAGGGTGAACTCCCTTTACTTGCCCCAGCTCCTGCCAACCTAGCAGTTCAAAAGCACGCAAGTATGCAAGTAGATAAATAGGTACCACTTCAGTAGGAAGGTAACAGCATTCTGTTGCTGTTGGCCATGTGATCAAGGAAGTGTCTATGGAACACACTGGCTCTCTCAGCTAAGAAACAGAGATGAGCATTAGAGTCAGATATGACTGGACAAGGGAAACCTTTACCTTTAGAAATTCTGAATGAAAAAAAGTCACAATACATGCAGTATAATACATGCAGTTAGTTTCAGACAGTCGATTGTTATGTAATATTTCATCTTCCACATGAAAATTGCATATATCTTACTACAGAGAATATTAATGGAGGCAAATGAGTTTCTATGATAGGATGAGAACTTTATTTGACTTCTGGAATGTTTACAGCTGGAATAATGTAAAATTACTCAAAGCATCATAGCCGCTAGGATTAGAAATCATCAGCCTTTCAGGTAGCTAATATAACAAACACAAACTATGAGTATTAACACTATCTTTATAGTGTTTGGTAGGGTTACAGTAACAGAAACTTGCAAGTTTGAAAGTACTTCCCCCCTCCTTACTTTTACTTTCCCCAAAACTAGGGATGGTGCCTTCTGAGATGCTATCTTTATCCTTACCCCTCCTTTGGTCTCAGATGTCATTTATCAGACTTGACTAGGCTACAGCTCTACCTCCTTATCTCCCAAGGTCATTTCCTCATACCGTTACCTGACCTATCTTACCAGCCCTTAAATAACTCTATGGCCTTTAAATTCATTTCTGAACACAGGGCTCTGTTCTGGGCCCAGTGCTCTTCAACATCTTCATCAACGATTTGGACCAGGGGATAGACGGGGAAATCATCAAATTTGCAGACGACACCAAGCTGGCAGGAATAGCCAACACTCCAGAAGACAGGCTTAGGATACAGGAGGATCTGGACAGACTTGAACACTGGGCGCTATCTAACAAAATGAAATTCAATGGTGAAAAAAGTAAGGTTCTACATTTAGGCAAGAAAAACCAAATGTACAGGTATAGGGGATACCTTGCTCAATAGTAGTAACTGTGAGAGGGACCTCGGAGTCCTAGTGGACAATCACTTAAATATGAGCCAGCAGTGTGCTGCAGCTGCCAAAAAAGCCAACACAGTGCTGGACTGCATTAACAGAGGGATAGAATCAAGATCACGTGAAGTATTAATACCACTTTACAATGCCTTGGTAAGGCTAAACTTGGAATACTGCATCCAGTTTTGGTCACCACGATGTAAAAAAGATGTTGAGACTCTAGAAAGAGTACAGAGAAGAGTAACAAAGATGATTAGAGGACTGGAGGCTAAAGCATATAAGGAAAGGCTGCTGGAATTGGGTATGTCTAGTTTAATGAAGAGAAGGACGAGGGGGGACATGATAGCAGTATTCCAATATCTCAGGGGCTGCCACAAAGAAGAGAGAGTCAAGCTATTTTCCAAGGCACCTGAAGGCAGGACAAGAAGCAACGGATAGAAACTGATCAAGGAGAGAAGCAACCTGGAAGTAAGGAGAAACTTCCTGACAGTTAGAACAATTAACCAGTGGAACAACCTGCCTCCAGAAGCGGTGAATGCTCCAATATTGGAAGTTTTTAAGAAGAGACTGGACAGCCATTTGTCTGAAATGGTATAGGGTTTCCTGCCTGAGCAGGGGGTTGGACTAGATGACCTCCAAGGTACCTTCCAACTTTATTATTATTATGGGATCATCGCACAGTCAGCCAGATGTTCAGACTGGATTTGGCATTTTGTCTACCTATCGAGTCCTTACCCAGGACCTGGGATAGGCAGATGTGGATGTTTGATGGTATTACAGATATCGTCACAGGATGGAAGCAGTTCCTAGTAAGGCCGCCTTTTGCAATTGTAGTAGTAGTAGTAGTAGTAGTAGTAGTACATCTGAAAATGGAAATTAGGTTAAACAGCACAGAGTTTGGCGTGGGTAGGAGACACTTAGCACAACCCAATGGATTTGCAACACAAACCCAAGCTTACTAAAAAAAAAAAATCCAAGCCATATTTACCCCTGATCAATCACATTAATATTCCCTTCACTTTACTCCTAGGAAAAGAAAGGATGAAAGCATTCATTATACTTTGCTTCCAGTTGCTATTCCCTTCTTCTCCCCACCCCACCCCAAGAATGACACAGAAGAGATCTTCATGTCCTTTCTGCCTGCTGCTCAGTCTGCCTGCTGTATGGGTCAGGAACCAATATGGCATGGTAGTTAGAATGCTAGGCTATAACAGGTTAGACACAAGTTCCCACCACCATGAAAGTTCACTGGATGGATTTGGGTCAGCTTTTCTCTCTCAACCCAATCAGCTACATACAAGGTACAAGGTACAGGTGCAAGATTCTTATAGGGAAAAATATGAACAGGAGTTGCTATTCTTGCTACTGTGTTCCTGGAGAAAAGATAGGAATCCAGGAATGTTTTTAGCAATACCCAGGGCTTTTTTTCTCATAGAACGCCCAGAACAGAGTTCCGGCACCTTTTTTGGATGGAACCTTGTAGGGTAGGCAAGGCGGGTTATATGAAGTGTGTGAGTTCCGGCACCTTTTTTTTTTTTTTTTTAGAAAAAAAGCACCAGCAATACCCTTAGTAGGAATTTGATGTGTATGCACATTGCTGTTAGTTATACCACCCGGAAAACTACAAATAATTTGAATTAATACTTTTCTTTTTAAAAAAAAAAGAACAGGCGTTTATTTTGGGTGGTCAGATCATAAATGAGATTGATGTTATACAATTTCTGCATTCCGAAACTTGAAGTAGTTGTATATTCTTAAGAGTTTAAAATTTACAGCTAGTTTTCACCACATGTATCATAGTTGCAGAGTAGCATTGAGATTATTGGAACATTGTGAGGGAGTAAAATTGTAGGTGGCAAGAACTGCTTTAAACCATCCAACTCCTATATTTCTTGGAAATTTATTTGGTTTTTTCTTCTGCTCAGTAGGCATTTATAATTCATTTAAAACTTTACATACTCATGCCTACATTATCGAACTCATGACTGTTGACCAAATAAATTAGCACCTAAACTGGGCAATCAGCATAAATAAGATGATGTATCCCACTCATGTACCCTTAACCTAGTAGATCTTTTATCCCTGTTTTTTCTACAAAGTGAATGCAGAGTTTCATTTAGGTAAAACAAACAAACAAAAAATACATTACCTTGACAATTAATGAAACTGAAACTGCTGGATTTCTGGCTGTCCAGATTACAAGTGATGCAGACAAATAATTACATAGATAATGCTGTCAAGTAGAATAAGGACTGAAATGCATGATATCTATTTAAAATTTTAAAAATCCATTCTTAATGTTGCTTTTAATAGTCAGGCATATTGTCTAGTAATAATCAAAATGTCCAGCCACTTTAAAAATGAAATGCCTCTGCTATCTAACTGTCTTATATACTGTAAATGTCTCAGAAGCTGAATAAATATGTTGGCAGGAGAATTAATTTTGTCTGTGTATTACTAAATAGAAACTGTAACTAACATCTATTTGGTCTGAATGCTGTCCTGGGGATGTTCGTTGACCTTGAAGTTGTAAGTATACAGTTTAGAAATAAATAGATTCTGAGAACTAAACTCTTCTTCAAATTGCCATGAAAAATTAAGAAGAGTCTGTTCTTTTTTTATGTGGAGTAAGAAATTACAACAATGATACACAAGAGGACTTGCAGTTACTGTATGTGGTAGGCTTTCCCTTGCGTTTCCTCTTTCTTTTGTCCAAATTCTTGGAGCAGATTTAGCAAATACCCAGGGAGCTGGAAGGAGGAAGGATAATCTATTCTGTTGGCAGATTTTGTTCTACCAATGGAAAGACATAATTAGATGAAGCTTTTCACTGTCTTTTGTGCAAAAATCACTTGTTTTGATATGAATGCAGGATCACTTCTCTTATGCAACTGCTCTTTAATGATCCCAAAGGAGCTTTTTATTTTGCTATATTTGTCTGCTCATCCAATCATTTCTTTTTCTTTTTTCTATCCGGTAGGCTGCAAACCTATCCCTGTAAAGTATCTGCAGTGGAGTGACATAGAGTCCATTGTAGCTGTGGTCTTCTCTTGCCTGGGCATCCTCGTCACCATGTTTGTTACCCTTATCTTTGCACTGTACAAGGACACCCCTGTCGTCAAATCCTCTAGCCGGGAGCTGTGCTACATAATACTTGCGGGGATCTTCCTTGGTTATATATGCCCTTTCACCCTCCTTGCTAAGCCCACTGTCGCCTCGTGCTACCTCCAGCGTCTTCTGGTGGGACTTTCCGCTGCCATGTGCTATTCTGCCCTTGTAACAAAAACTAACCGCATTGCACGCATTCTGGCAGGGAGCAAGAAAAAAATTTGCACCCGCAAACCACGCTTCATGAGTGCTTGGGCCCAAGTGGTCATTGCCTCCATTTTGATCAGCGTACAGCTGACATTGGTTATTACACTGGTCATCATGGAACCCCCTTTCCCCATCCTTTCCTACCCCAGTATCAAGGAAGTCTTTCTGATCTGCAACACCAGCAACTTAGGTGTGGTTGCCCCAGTGGGCTACAATGGACTCCTCATCATGAGTTGCACTTACTATGCTTTCAAAACTCGCAACGTGCCCGCCAATTTCAATGAAGCTAAGTATATTGCCTTCACTATGTACACAACCTGTATCATCTGGCTTGCCTTTGTACCTATATACTTTGGGAGCAACTACAAGATCATTACAACTTGCTTTGCCGTGAGCCTGAGTGTGACAGTTGCCTTGGGGTGCATGTTCACTCCCAAGATGTATATCATCATTGCAAAGCCCGAAAGAAATGTCCGCAGTGCCTTCACCACTTCAGATGTGGTGCGTATGCATGTCGGGGATGGCAAGACACCTTGTAGGTCCAACACTTTCCTCAGCATATTCCGGAGAAAGAAGCCAGGCGCTGGAAACCCAAAGTAAGTACTTTGACAATGCACCTCTATAACACTCTCTTTTTCTCTTCCTTGTTCTTCCAAAACCTATGTGTTCAAAAAAATATTTTGCATTAAAGAAGCTAAGCAAAGCAAAATCTGAAATAGGGATTTGTTCTTCCTCTTTGCTACTCTGAAACTGCAATCAGTCTAATATTCTGACATGTTCTTATCATCTCCAGTCTTATAAACCTTTCTGGTTTCCTTTGATTTTTGTTTTCTGCTCACTAATAATGTGCATATAAAATAATCGGACAGAACAGTGAACTATCAACAAATCTTGGAAAGGCTGTTTTTACATCTGCAATAATTTTTCATTCTGTGCCAATACAGTCACACAATGAAGAATTTACTAAACCTTTACTAACTTATACATTAGGCTTCTCACAGAGACAACTGAAAATCTCAGCTCTCCAGATGCTCAGCCTTTACTCAGTATGAGATACTCAGTAGAAAACTCACACGCATCACGCCACAAGATTGGTTTCTTTAATACAGACAAGAAAGAAACTTTATACTGTACATAAAGAAGAATTACTATCTCAGGTGTTTAAATTCTAAGCCTGCTCTTGCTTCTTTGAATCAACAGATATTTGATTGCTCTCTCAGTCTTGAGAGACATTGCTCTGTATTGACTTCATCTTGTACATTATGGGCCTTTCTAATAAACTGAGATTCTATTATGCTCAGTGGTTGACTAAAACTGAATTGAACAGTCTTAATTGTCTAAGAGTGCTTTTGTCTCAATAAGCTTTTTTCACAGTCCAATATATGACACCTGGAAAGGTTCTTAAAGTCATTTCAAATTCAGTGTTTTTCTGACTCTTGTTCTGCTTAACAAAAATACTCACCCAAACTACCCTGCAAATCTGTCAAAGTTGTTGGAAGGCTGTGCACAGAACAGCACTTTAGCCAACAGATTGATGAATGTTGTATTTCAGCAGCTTTCAGCTGGCTGAATCTTTTCCCTAGAAAAAATACGCCTCACATTGTTTATGAATTATAGTGCAAGACTCTCTAAGAAAACTCTCCCTGAATTCTGTGTGGATATGGCAGAACCTTATGATTCATTCACTCCATCATTTTTTCTCTGCCTGATGAAAAATCCTGGGAGTTTTTTCTATTCATGCAGTCTCCATTGAAAGAAGAAATTAATAGAGGCTTTTCTGTGGTTTTCCCTTTATTCAAACACTAGGAAAGAATGTTGTGGGATGTTAATTATATGCAGAAGTAACTGTAGGGCAATTAGATGAATTTCTTACCTAATAAAACAAAGTTTACAGACACTTCTATATAATATAGAGATGATATTTGAGACTATCATTACCATCCTTATCATGATCCAACTAATTTAATTTAATATTCATACTTGAGTAATTTCATAGGATTCTACATAGTGTTATTTCTAGATTGGTATTATTAGACAAAAGTGGTTCATCTTAGAATAGAAAGTAATGGTAAGCTAAGCTATTTTTTATTATTTTGAATAAAATTCAGTTGATGCTTGATATTCATCAAAGCTTAAGAATTTGAAGGGCTCAGTTCAGGAACTTCTGGAAATGTAATTGCAATGGATCTTCTCAAGACAGCAGGTATGCAACTACCAGGATAAAAAAAAAAAATGCCCTGAAATAGCAATCCATGTAAACTTTTAAAATTTATTTAGTTTTTTGTTACAATAGTGGCGCAGAAGAATCATTAGAGCCGTGAATTTGGGAAGATTACATGTACAAGAATAGGTAAATGTTATACTTAATTATTTTTTGTCCTTTGAGGAATGTTATGTTATGAGGAACACAATATTTCTGGCAGGTTTTTTAAAACCATTTTTGTTCTTTTTCGAGGACCAATATAAAATGTTAAAATAATTACTCTGATAATTTTATAATTCTTATCTTTTTATTTATTAAGTTTTAAAAACAAAGGAACAGCATTAAAATGTCCAAAGAATATCAATAAATATTGCCAAATTAGAGATAGGAGAAGAATAGATAACAATATTGAACATTTTATAATCAGCAATAAGGTCCTGATCATTTGCCGTTGAAAAAAACTACATCATAAACTCCACTGAGAATTTAGTTCTAGAAAAAAAAATGGAAGTAGATAAAAAACTGGAAGAATTAAAAACCATTCCCCTATCTTTCTGGCTCATAATATCTCCCAAAATGCACTAAAATGCTATTTATTTTTATAGTTGAATTTGCATACAACTTATGGACTTTGAGGGAAAAAGTATTTATGACTGTTTACTTTGTGTGAAAATACATATAAAAATAAACATTTTGGAGAGTTTTATTTTTAAAGAATCAGATTATTGCAGAAACAAACAGAATGTATTAATGAACTATCATGGGGAGGAAATGCTAACAGAATTAGTCAAGAGAGCAAACAATTTCCTTCAAAAAAAGATTTTATTATAAAAACATCTTAAAATAAAGATTTTAATATAATTTCATATCCGTTCGTTTCAATACAAAATGGGCATGACTCAGAAACAGGCTATTTGTTTATAAGAGCTGCTAGAGAACAAAAATGGAAGTGGATAAGAAAGAATGAGGCAATTTTATAGAGTCAGGTATTGTAAGAAACAAAATACCATCTCTTCTCGGCTAAAAAAAAAATCCAGTCTTTATCCATAGTAGAAATTCAAAATAGTTGTATTAAATGAATGCTCACCTTTGTAAATGTTCAGATGATCTGTCTGAATTTATTTATTTATTTATGAGACTTATACACCACTTTAAGTGCAAGCACTCTCTAAGCGATGTACACCAGTAAGCAATGTATATATATATTTTACATTGCCCCCAACAATCTGGGTCCTCATTTTACCTACCCCGGAAGGATGGAATGAGTCAACCTTGAGCCGGTGAGATTTGAACTGCTGACCTGCTGAACACAGTCAGCTAAAGTGGCCTGCAGTACTGCACTCTAACTGCTGCGCCACCTCAGCTCATTAAAGTTCATAGTATCTAGTTTACATGTAATGTTAAGCCATAATATGGTTTGAGATTTTGGGGCTCAGTGTAATTTAGCCTTATTTGGAACCAGGGACTCTGGGAAGTAAAACATGGTTTAAAAATCCTGGCGTAGGGTGTTGACTGAATTCACCCAGTATGAAACGCCAAACTGCCCACTGTGTCATTCTGTTGCAACAGAAGACACAACTGCATTCTAATTGGTATCCAGCTCTAGTTTAACCTGGAGTTCTTCTATTGCTCAAATATATTCTCATTTCCATCTATAAGAAGGGGCAAAATAATCTAAAAGTAGCCTTGCCTTGTAGTAAAATATATATTACCAGTGCATTTATGCAACTTTGACACTTCTCTTTGTAAATGTGAAATTGTGGGCATTGTCCAGGTGATCCTATTATTCTGGGCTTTCAGATTCTGACTGAAAATTTCATCCTTCAAGGTGGAAGGCCGGATGCTTATTCTTTTATCTTCCATAATCATCCACCTGCCCTGATTTCTCTCTGTGTAATCTCTTCTGGCCCTCACCTTACACCCCTTTCCAATCCATTAGCCCAAGTTTTTCTTCTGTATTCCAATCAGTAGCAAAAGTCATGCCTATTAAATCTAGCCATTCTTTTTGTTCTGTCCATGTCAGTCTCCCACCCTTCCAGAAGAGGGAGGCCAAGACCAAGCCAACACTGCCTCCAAGCTCCCCCTCAAAGAAGCAGTCTTTATTAACACAGTCAAGGAAGGGAGCTCTCTGCTGTACCCTATTCATTCCTTTGCATTAGCCTGCAAATTTAATGGCACAAGATGGCAGTGCAGCTTCCCTGTCTTGCTTACTGATTTTCTCTAGGATGTAATAATGCCAAAATAGGACAGAGTACATTAACATTTTCCAGGAGAAAGACACACAACCTCATTTTCATAACGGCGTCTAGAGCAGCATTCTCCAGCCTAATATAGTCCAGATGTGTAAGATTACAAATCCATTGTTCTGTCTGAGATGAAATAAGTTTTTGGCTAATACATGAGCGCTGAGGAATTTTGGGAGTTGAAGTCAACAAGTCATAAAAGGGCCAAGTTTGAAGACCCCTGGGCTAATACATCTCTGTGTTGCGAAGACTGGTGGTGATGGGACAGGGGAGGGGGGTTGCTCTTAGTTTATTTTCCTTGTTATTGCTTTAATTTGTTGCTTGACTCTTCACTGAAACAGGATATAAAAAAGTCCCTACTAACCTTTTCAAATAATATTTTTCAATAATAGCAAAAGGAATTACATGAGGAAAAACGTTTATCTTTTTTAAGATATTTAAAATATTTATCTAAATATTTATCTGCAATAGGCATGTAATGTGTAAATAATCTCTGTATGAGTTATACGTTATAAGAACACATTTTTTTAATATTGGACAATAGTCCAATATCTCAAAACTGGCGTTAGATACTTTCTGAGAAAAATCTTTTTCTTATAACACTTTTAATATTTGACCTTTTCCATTGATTTTTCTCTGCTGGGACTTTATGAAATTAGAAACTAATATTAAACTATATCCAGTACATGGATGAATGGATATATGAATATTGCATGAAAAAATAAAAACACTGCCATGACCATATAGAACAGATGCAAGCCTAAACTTTAACCCAAGCTTGTTTCCAGAAGCAAAAATGCTGCTACACATCAGTTTTTCAGTGGAGATGTACATCTTATACTGCATAATCATTAACATGCTGATGAGTGTCCAGGAAAATAACATTAACTTTAAAGTACTGTCTCAGCAAGCCAAATAGCTGTAAATGTGAAGTCCTTGGTGCTGTCTGAACTCTGGTTGTTTGCTTGCAGATGTTTTATTACCCAACTAGGTAACATCATCTATGCACTGGGTATTTTAAAGAGGAGGCTTTTGCAGGGTTTTTAGTTATTGTCCATCATTTGGAGTTGGGAGACAATATAAAACTTAAAACAAATAAGAACCATAAATCTCATGAATGGAAAGAAAGGGAGCTTAGAATCATAGAGTC